ATATTGTTGGAGTCTGCTACATACAGCCACAAGCCAGGCCAAACAACTCCACAGCCATCCTGCTGTTATTTACTGATCACAACAGGACTACACAGCACTTGGCTGGCAAACAGAAAAGAGGGCAGCACTCTCAGAACATACTGACTTACATGTGGGCAGATGCTGAACCTTCAGCTGAGCCCCATTCAATTTAGAAGGGCCTGTCTATACTGCAGTCAATGCAAGAAAGAGATCTAAAAAAAATTATGTAAAAGCTATAGATTACACAGCAGTCATGTCTGAAACTGCCCTTTTTACATGTTGCCATGTTAACCTACTGTACCTTTATTTTTAGGAGTATTTCAGTACAAACAAAATGTCAGTACTAAAAAAATAAAAATGACAGTACACAAAATACAGTAAGTATTAGATCTTCAGGACAGACTGGACTACCCAGCAGCAGTCCAGTCCTAAGCAGCAAATTCAGGAAGGTTCTGAGCCCCTAATTATTCTTCCCGAGACCACAGAACTCCAGCCTCCTGAAAGAGGTATCAGAAAAGTGGACTCATGCAGAGAACATGGCAGTTACCACATGACAAGTTCTGTCTGGGAGAGAAGGCAGAGGTAATGCTCATTGCATCCATGCAACACTAGTTATGCAATAAGGCTCTTTCTAGACCCAGGCTGGTCTCTCCACAGATTGTTGTGTGCACATACTAGCTTTGGGACCTCTGTTTATCCCTTCATTGTGTGCTGCTGCTTAATGCTTTGCACTTTCTCAGGGCCACAGGGATAAGGGCAAAACAGAAAGACGAGAAATGCCACTTTTACTTGCAAAACTGCAATGCTGCCCAAAGCAAAGCTGACTCAAAGTTCCTCCACAAGCCTGTGCAGAACTGAGTTTCGGCACTCAAAAGAGGAGAGCTCAAGGCTTCTTCACTTTGACCCCTGGATGGCATTAAAAGAGCTGGATGGAACAGGCAAGGGAGGGCCTACCTGCCACAGGTGGGCCTGGCTGCATTAGAGGAAACTCACTGGTGCTAGATACTGGCATCCCATCAGTGCAACTGCTGCCAATAATGCTTCAGCAGCTTCCCTTAAGAGCACCAGCAGCCTTTAGCACAGCTTTTTAAGACTCTGGCAGAGGCCTAAAATCAAATGGGTCCCCAAACATACCTTTTTCCATATTGGGACGGATGCTTTTAAGGTATTGATGCAGTACGTTACAGCTTCAAGGGATTCTGCTCTGTGTGGAGAGGAGACTGCAATAATTACACTTGCTTCAGTTATTGGAACCACACTAGGGAGAGAAGAGGAACAACAGCAGCTTTAGCTAATGCTTAACATCAAGAGCACCCAAGAGTTGTGGCCATGTCACGTCAGTATTCTGGCCACACGCTCCCCTGACTCATTCATACTAAGCAAGTGTCAAGCCATGTCCAAAAGATTATACACTTTTTCAAAGAAAGAAAACCACAACCAAAATCAGTACCAGATGTGAGAATTCTATGGTTTAGAATAAATAAACCCACCAGACATAGGCTTTTTTCTTCTATTCTTTCTTTTTTTTTAATAAAGTCTATGGAATTAAGAGGAGAAAATTGCTAACTTGCAACAATGCATAGGATATTCATTGGAAGCTAGCTTAATAATGAAAAATAACAAGTTAGGAACAGCCAGTTCTTATCTGAAAACCTAAGAAATCATCTCAGTTTGCACAAGAATTTGTAAAAGAAGAAATTAAGTGCCTCAAACTATGCAGATTTTGCAATGAAACCATTCTTGACAAATTGTGATTTCAAATTACAAAGTTTTTCCTGTTTGGTGTGTTGTCTTCCAAACTTAACAGAAGCAGCACAAGGTTTTATTTTGCTCCTCATAAGGGTAGTATTCCCAAAAGCTGCCTCCCAGTCCTCCCTCTATAGTAAGACTCCTCTGGCAAACAGTTCATAAGAAAAAATCTAAGCTTAAATGCTTCGAGCTGCCCTCAAGAGAATCCCTCTCTGTCTTGACTACAGAGGAAATCTAAGGAAACTACCCCTCAGAGCTGGTATTACCCTTTGCAATCACCTCCTAAATTCCTTCTGCTGAGAAAAGGAAACAAGCATTTGCATGAGACTCTGCAAATCCTGCTAGGTTCAGTGAGAAATCTCATGAATAGAGAAGGCTCAAGAGTATGTCAGACACTAGTATTCTGTGTTTTGAAACCAACAGAAAATGCTTATCCAAGACTTAAGGAACAACAGGAGGTTCTCCAGCAAGCACAGCTGGCAATTACCATGCCTCTCCCCTCCCCGTAGTCTAAGTTTTCAGGTTCCCTATGGCATAATTTGACTTAAATCTGACAATAAGAACATTCTGCAGCACCTCAATGGAAAAGAGAAGAAAAAAGAAAGTGCTGCCAACTTCATGTCTTTAAAAAGAGACAAAACAAACCAATAGCCTTCCCTTCCCTGGAATGAAATCTCAGTCCCTTCTCCCCACTTTCAAACCATCACACCAGCATCAAGGATCCTGCAGGCTGAATGTGGACTCCAGCAAACACTACATTTTTGTAAAGACAATTTCTGAAATTCAGCTCTGCGGCGAGAGCTTGATCCTGCAGCCAGCTTTGCTGCATTACAATTTATAAAGACTCTTGCACATCCGGCAACGATGTAAGCACAGCCATGCAGCAGACAAGGATTAATATTCCACTTTCAGAAGAAAGGGGTCTGGTCATACATACCCAAGTCTATGGTGCACTGCAATATGTTTGACTGATGGCCATTTCTGTCTAACGTCTCTGCAGATTTTCTTTATTTCTGTCTCTGCCATTGAAGTATAGGCTTCATATTCTAAGTGAATCACTTTTTTCCCTTCAAAATTATTTCTTGTAGTACCTAAACACATATGATTTATCAATCAAAAGCAATGAGTAAATAAACATATACATTTATAATATTTATACTTTTATATAATAAATATAGAATATATTATATATAAATACTGAGTAAAATGCAGGATCTCCTGCTATGGCCAAGGTCAGCACTGTGCAAATATAAATGACCTCCCTTAATCATGGCTGCGTAAAGTGGTTCTTTGAACAAGAGAAATCTTTAATATACAAGGAAGAATTTAGTTTACACATTATGCAAGTCTGCAGTCTGTAATGCCCAAGGCTGGGACATCTTCTGTGGTTAACTGCTACAGTGCTATTATTGCATTTGCCCATGCAGTGTTTAAATGTTCAGTATTTAGAAGCCCTAAGGTTTAAGCACAAAGGGGTTTCAAGACTGTACCATGTACATTAAGCAACAGGACAGAGCTATCAGCCTTGACCTTCACCAGCCCATAGGTAAAATAGTACTTTACTTTCAACCAAGATCTGAGTTGCAGGAGCTTTCTCATACAGGTGTGGACCTGTGGTTTGCACAGCCACAACATCCCACTTCCCACCTTGAACAAGCTGTGTCCAAAGGGATGGGAGAACAGCACCCAAGCAGCCCTGTATTGCAGAGCTGCTGTTCCGTTCTGTCCTAGGATAGCCACACCAGCAGGGAAGCTTCTCACCACTTTGTCTCAGTGCAACCGCTTAAGAGCTGGCATGGTCTTGTTCTAAGTAATTCAGAACGTGTCTTCTAAATGTCCTGGGTTCAGTCCAGGAATTTATTTATTTGAGAAGCACGAGTTTGGGGTGTGGACAATCGAGGTTCCATTTATTAGACTATTAACACATCCAGAGATCCTGCTCAGAACTATTAAACTCACCAATGAACAGAGACACTGCCCCACAGTATGGTGAAATGACCAGCTCTGACACTTCATCTACAGAGAGCTTTTCAGACTTGAGCTTGATAAAATCTTTTGGCACATCTTTGCTTTCCTCCATAGCTCACTAGAAAAGCTGAAACCAAATAGACTCTGTTGTTGTTTTTGGCGATGCTAACATTGGCTAACTGTTTTTTATCCAGTGCTGATGCCCCAGTTTATGCAGAAAACATGCACCATCTATTTCCTCACCCCAAGAGACCAGCCTCCATGGCAAATTCACTTATCAGCAGACTTGCTGAGAGAATATTAACTACAAATATCAAGCAATTACCTGGTTTTTAATGTATACATGTTCCTTCTTGATAGGGAAGTCTAGTGCAGTAGGACAAAACCGTAAGTCATCTGAGGCCCCAGTTTAACAGTACAATCAACCAGGACGGATTACTGTGCTAGTAAATCTGTAGTAAAATTGTCAGCCCCTCCTCCCTACTTTACACTGAAATCAAACATAGTTTACAGTGGAGATTTCTGATAAACACAGATTAGAGTTCTAATCCTAAAGTTTACTATGCTCTCCAGGACATTCAGGACCTCACACTATCAGTCTGTTCAGTGACACAGGAGACACTTCTAATTTCTCTGAGCAGAAACCAGTCATCAGTTCAGCTGAGAATGACGAGGAAAATAATTATTTTCAGCAGCAGTAATGGAAAAAGCTACATGGACTGGCACTTGAAAGCATGCAAAGAAATTAAGCTATTCTAAGGACACACCTGTTCCTTTGACAGCATCAAACACACACAAAAAAGGGTTTTTTTTAAGCAGCACTCAATTCTTTTTCTGTATCATCTCTTCTGTTAAAAAGTGGCAGGAGGTTTTTCATTATTATCTTATTTAGGCAAGCTGGGTATCTACTGGCAGCCAGAAACAACTACAAAAGAATAGTAAGACCTAAAACCCAAATTCAAAACAATGCCTGACCTCTCTGGCAATTTTCTTCCATTCACTGCATATGTGTTAATCATTTATTAGTACACCAGCTTACAATTTCTTGTCAGCACAATGGTTCTCCCCAGTAGGAAGTGCAAGTTATGCTCTCTTGAAAGAGTACCGGGTTGGAGGGAAAGAACTGCAATCACATCTCTGGACCTAAACAAAAAAAGATTATTGGAACATTATACAGAATCCATGAGATATTTTAGCACAGTATGACCTTCCACGGGAAACTAAGCAAGAAGTGATATGTACCTAACAGAATCTGGGCAGATTCAGCCTCCACTAATTGGCGGAATGATGGCAACCTCGTCTCCGGGCTGCAGCACCAGGAGCTGATCTCCAAGAAGCACGTACTCCTGCCGAACAGCAAAAACCACTTGATCCCGGATGACAGCAAGCCTGAGGGGGATTGGCAGGAGCACAAATAGGTTTTTAAAAACAGTGTTTGCATTTAACCATGAGATTTCATTAAACAACAAACTGGTGCACAGTCTAGGGCAGCTCAGGTAAACACCACTGAGACTTACGCAACTCTGCTTCCAATACACTTTCAAAAAATACAACAAACGCCCTCCTACTCTTGGACTTTCTTGTGGTGGCTAAGGAGGAAACAACTCAGTATAATTCTGAGAAGTCAGGAATTAGATTTGTCATAGGCCTACATCAAAATGAACCAGTGTCTACCAGACTCACTTCAGCAGCTTCTAACAAAGAAGTAGGTAACTCAAGAGGTAGCAACCATCCAATCTGGGATTAGAAGCAAATGTTCCTCTGATTCAGTCTGGCTGGACAGGAGCAATTTTCTTACAAAGCAAGAACCACTGTGGGATGCTGTTAGTGAGATCTCATGAAAATTCAGTGGTCAAAAAGTTGCTCTCATTGTGTTACCTCAGAGTTTATGAGGCTTTGGGTCTTTTGTATTTACAAGCCTGAAATTCACTATTGATAATGAGGTGCAACAGAACTAAGAGGGCAGATACGGTGCATTTTCTGTCAGATTTCCTAGGTATTTCTTGATTTCACATCTGTGAGACATTGCTGTGAGTGTCCACAGCTTGGATACCATGAGGCAGGGAGTTGCTTTCATAACTAAGTGCAATCACACAGTGAGTCTGAGAGCAACACTAGTAAGACACCAGAAAAAGAATGCCAACATTTTACTTTAGAAGGTGCAGTCACAATAACTGTTATTATTTGAGACTACAAAATCTGCCACAGACAGTGGAGAGTAGGCATGCCAAAAGGGTACAAGTAAAAATGATCTTATTTCCTGCCAGCCCAATAGACAAAAGTGGGCAAGGCACAGGCTGAGCAAAACACAGTAGCACTGACTCAGGGAGCAGGCTAAAGGGAGGGATTGTATGAAAGTAAAGCAAGCCACTGCGTAACTGAGTACAACTATGGAACTGAAGTGTCCATTAGAAGGATGGGCTCTAATTAATGTCACTCACAAGTTTATTCATTGGGGAAAATGGGTGGAACAGAAGAGCATTGTCAAGTACTGCTCAAGCTGCAGTTTGAATATCCATGAGCAATGTGAATAGAAGTCTGTGGTCAATACCCTACAATTATGTTGAGTTTTTCCAGAAAAGCTAGGAGCAGAAGCATTTTCCAAGAAGGCCACTGTGAAGTAACTGCACATGCAAAATGTACTGCCCCAAGTCATCATTCATAAAAGGACAAAGTTGACAAACTATAGCAAACGCACCAAAGGTGCTGCTGCACACACTCTGCTGACACTGAGTAATAAGCTACAAAGTAAAATACATTAATTCCCTACTGTCTACTCCCACAAAACACACTTAAGTCTCAATTCTCTGTGGGGAAAAGGCTCCTGGTCTAACATGTCGTTAGAGCTTCTCATTTGGAAACTGTTGCCATTGCTAAATTGTTAATTTTTTTCAAAGCCTTTGAGAGCAGGTCTAATAAAGAAGGCTGGTGCCTAAAGGAAGACTTTGGCACCTAAGTCCAAAGCTACAGAAATTCCAGTGCATTTGGCATTAAATCCTAAAGACCTCAACCTGTGTTATACCTTAATTTTATCAACTCCCCCCTCCAAAATGGTGTTGCACCTTTGCCTATCATACACATTCTTGAGAGAACTGAGTACTTTCCCTCAGCCTTAACCTGAGGGAGGGTTTCTGCCACACCCCTGAAAAGCAGCAGCGCTGCAGGAGTCCTTACAGCACACACCTACCGCTCTCTCAGGACCAGACTCCCTATAACACACAACCAGCAGTGGTTTTCTTTTTCACAGCAGAGGAGGTTGACAGTGGCTGAATCTTTTTCCTATGTCAGGGCCAAAGAGCTGGAAGCCTGTGGCGAGGCTTCAGTTCCCTTCCTAACCTGCCTGCTTTCCAGAGAGTGCCATAAGCTAGGACCAATGGCTAACAGTTCAGTTATAGATAAGTGATTGAAAACACCTGCACATTAACACGAATTTGTTATTTACTGCCCTGGCTGTGCTTAATCCCTCCTTGAGACATCTTACCTTCTCCACAGGTTAGTAACACAGCTCAGTTTTCAACTGCAGCAGAGTTACTGCACTGTGGCCCTCCTGGACAACGGGATGCGGGTCTTCGAGTACCCCCTAGGCTCGACTTTTGGGTTGGTTTATTGGATCTAGTCTTTCCTTGTGTGTACACAAAGCTACAGCACTTCCAACTGGCCAAAACGCTTGCTGTGGGTTATCAGAACAAGGTAATGTCACTGCTTTTATGGTATCAAAGTACGGATACATGCTCCAGCTCAACTCTAAACACGGAATTTGTTTTCACCAAAAAAGCCCTGACCACGTTAAACCGTGTGCACCTCGGCAGCAACGCTCGCGAATACCTTGGGTGAACCTTGACGATCTCCTCCCAGAGCTGCGCAGAGGTGATCTGCCGCGGCACCGAGAGGGTCTCGCAGCGCAGCCCCGCCAGCTCGGCGCTCCTGGCGAAATACAGCACCGAGACCTGCTCGGGGAACAAATGCCGGTCAGGGGAGCGGGGCCTCCTGAAATAAAACCGCTACCGCACATTAACTTCTCCCAAAATACCAAAACAAACCGAAACCAAACCAGCGTGAGAAAAGCTTTCCCCGTCTTTTTTTCATGTTGATAAACTCTGCCGCGTTCCTCCTGCCCCGGCTGCCAGGAGCAGAGCAGGGAAGCGGGTGGGGGGAAGGCGGGTAAGTCAGCGCGGATCCGTGTTCCGACCCGCCGTCCAG